GTGACATAATGTCAAATTCTTCAGTGAAAAATCGATTTTGGGAAAAATATCAATTTTTTAAATCTGTACGGAAAATCGTATTTTAATTAGTGTAAATGAATGGAGCTTATTAAAGCATATTTCACATGTTGAGTAAAAGAAATAAACCAATGACAACGAGAATTAAAATCACAAAAAATTATATTTCCAACGATTGAAGTATGAAAATAGTGCGAAATAACAATTCGTCACAAGCATTTTGTCGAGATTTCCGTGAGTGCCTGAGGCATTCTGCGTGGGCGAGGTAACTCGTATGGACATCCCGGATGGTTATTGTGGCTTAAAGTCCCATTGGCACCCAGAGACTTGAAATTCATCCGGAGGAGCGGCTGAAAACGATGGGAATGATCGTCAAGTGCTGGAGAGCATCTGGACTCGAGCATTTCGGGATTGTTTTCGGGTATAACTCGAGGTGATCGCGACAGTTCCTCACCTCCTCAAGCGCCTCCTACGTTCATCTTCAGCGAGTCAATGATTTCCACCTGAAGAGTGATTTTTTTTCCGGGCATTTGCGGTAGAAACGCGCGGTTCGCCTCCGTGAATGGCTTCGGCGGCCGATCAATGAACAAATGTTGAGTTAAAAAAAGAAAAGAGTGAAAACTGAACGACTCATCGACACTCCTCGGGCTGCGACGTTTGGCATAGCCCCGGTTAAGCAGACACCGCTCGAGACGGGAACCGGAAGTCTATTTCGGTTGCCCGTACCAATTTAGAAATCCTTTATAGTTTATACCGCCCCTGTCCACGAATACACACAAACCGTGTTCCTAATGTCCATTGGGTTAGTTTTTCATTCTTACGCTCTGGGATTATTGCGTACCGGAGTGTCATGCGCTCACCAATGATGCGGTGAGGAGGTCCGCGGATTCAACGATGATTCAATCCCATCTCTCGTTTGAGTTTATTTTTGTTGTTGCGATATTTGCACGTCATCGGATCGATTGGCTTGTGACGTGTGGTACAGCGGCTATTTTCAGGTGTTAGTTTGCACTTTTTTAAATTTATTTTCATAAATCGAGAAAAAATAATCGATATCTCGCAGTTTTATTATTTCGAGAATACCGCATCAGCTCCTTTAGTACTACGGAACAAACATTGATTATTATCATAAATCTATAAAAAATGATCGATGTCGCAGTTTGATTATTTCGAGAAAACCGCATCAGCTACTTTAGTACTAAAAAACAAGCATCGATTATTTTCATAAATCGAGGAAAAATGATCGATATGTCGCAGTTTGATTATTTCGAGAATACCGCATCAGCTCCTTTAGTAATACGAGACCGAACGCGCGCTACGGCGCCCTGTAATTCAGTAGTGAATCGGTAAACCGGGTTAAGTCGATTTTGACTATTGGCCAGTTTTTGACGAATATCTCGGAATCTAAAAGAGATAGAAATTTTTTTGTCATGACCTTTTTTGTAGAGCCAATTGAGGGTTACAAAAAAGGTCATGGGAAAATTCTGCCATCTCTCTTAGATTCCGAGATATTCATCAAAAACTGACCTAAAGTCAAAATCGACTTAACCCGGTTGACCGCTTCGCTACTGAATTGTAACAATTATAATTGAAAATCTCAAAATTAAATTAATCATGAATTAAATTTGCCGCCTGAGACGACTGGAACCAATGGGGAATAAGCGTGACAGACCTGCGAGATATCGATAGTTATCGACTTTAAGTGTATGTTCTTTTTAGAATAGGAAAGGATTGTCCAGGGCCAAAAGAAATAAGTCATTATTTGAGTGGCAGAAGAACTTTAATAATGGTCATACGACAGAAAATTTGAATGGAACAGTCTGAGGATGGAGAGTGAGAGAAAAAAAATGGCCCGAGGAATGGAATACGAGAGACCAGTGGTAATAAGGTTCGAAGGCAAAAGTCTCGTCCTTTGTGCCTCCACTATATGGGTTTCTTACAAAAACCGTTCTCTCTGGGGGTGTTTGATTTGAGGCTGGAGGGTCCCCGGGGTTCACTGGATAGGTATAACTTTCATACTTGGGCCTTAGCACCTTTATCACCCCCCCCTGGGTTCATTCTCTCGCTGTGACAAAACAAATTTACAGCCGAATTTCCAAGCGGGACCCCTGCCAAGTCTGTATTCTCAGCATCTCCGGTTATTCTCTTTCTCTTCGGCTCCATTATTATTCGCGCTCCTCTCGTTTTATTATTTCACCTTTGGAAGTCGTCAGGCTAGATCTGATATTTCCAAGTGGATATTGTTTTTCGCTAGTCGCTGAATTTATCGTGAATGGGCCAGTGAATTTTTTAAGTGAGAATGCACTCGAAAAATTAGTGTATTCAAGACGTGCTGATTAAATCGATGGACACACATCTTAATGTCTTCATTTGAAGCACAAAAATTATTTAAATGTGAAGACACAAACGTCTTGAATAATGGGTTAAGTGTCTTAATTCCAAACAGTATTTGTCTAGTTGTAAATTCAATTCAAAATTTTTTTTTCTATAAATCTAGTGCGGCAGAACGGGCCCTCCATTGCAGGGCCACGACATTAATCCTTCGGATTAATGATCTAACAGATTTGGTAATACGAGAGAAGAAGCGTGTATCATGTATTTAAATTTCCGGAGTTTGTCGGTGGGCCTGGCCCACGTGTCGGCTGTAAAAGTACATAGAAAATCATGGGTTAGTGATGAACAAAGACAGAGAGAGGGAGCGTGTGGGCCCAGCCACAGACTCCTTATTGAAGCGAAATGTGTAGGCTGACGAGAAGTTCCACTCTTTTCACGTGTTTATTCCACTCCTTCCCATTTATTCCCACTTCCAGCGTTTTTCACCTCTGCCTCTCGTTGCACGAGGCGGATCGTCGATTTTTATCCTCGCTATATATATTTTTTGCGGAGGAATCATATGCATTGGGAGGGCATGTAATTCAGGAGCGAAGTGGTAAAGTGGTACAAGTCAATTTTGACTATTGATCAATTTTCAATGAATATCTCGGAATCTCAGGGAGATAGCAAGATTTTTGTTATAACCTTTTTTGTAGAGCCGATTGAGAGCTACAACAAATGTTGTTACGAAAATTTCGCTATCTCCCTTAGATTCGGAAATATTCCTCAAAAACTCAACTGGGGGATAAGTCGACTTGAACTGTTTTACCATTTCGCTACTGAATTTAAATGAAGGAGAGAAAAATTATTGCAAGGGGATGGATAAATGATTTTGAGAAATGTTCGGAAAGACGAGGTGATTGACAGGTGTGGCCGCCACCATCTTGCTTGGGCACCCCTCCCTATGCCGCTAGGGTTTTTAAAGATGGCGATTTCCTCACCTCGCATTTTTAAACATTTTTTAAAATTATTTGTCGTGCTCAGATCACCCTCAACTCACGTCATCCTGTTTCTGTAAAGGGAACAATTGTTTTAAGCGATCCTTCAGATTTTTCCATCGTCTCTTGGCTGAAAATTTATGCCGCAAAGATTTCCCCGCACGTCAGTAGCTTTTTCTGCTACTTCCAAAGGCTCTTAAGCCATTCTCTTTACCATAATTTAATTAATTAGTAAAATTCATGCTCAATTCGCGAAGATTTCTCATCAATTGAGTCTAGTTCTCGGAATTGTGCGAGAATATCTTATTCCCTCCCTTGAGAATATCTAAGTATATTTACATTCAACCATTTTCAATCATCAAATTTGTCAATTAAATCGCCTGAGAAAAATTGGAAGACAATCGTGGATATTCAGCGTCATTAAAATTACTTTTTGCACAGAATTATTATTTTTTGTAACATTCGTTGCATTCAAGCATTCCCCCGTGGAAAAATATATAATAAATATACATAATATAGTCCAATTCCACATATAAAATACATAATTTTCAGAATAAATATTTTTCCGTATGTGTTTCACTGAAGAAAAAATAGCCAAAGTACTTGGATATCCTCAAGAAAAAAAATCATATCTCCGATTAAGTCATACACAGCATACACCGAGAGTATAATTACACTTCCTCAAAGCGATGAGATAAAACCCCCTGGAACGATCCTGAAACACGTTAGTGTGGAATTTGTTGGGCGTGTCCTGCTGGTCGCGAACAAGACACACTGACTAAGAGGTGGGTAGATATCTCTGCCCCCGTAGAAGAACACACACCCCGGGGTATGTGTGCAAATTTTTGGTGTACAATGCATCTGTGATGGTGGACGGCTACTCGCCTTCTTCATCGGCCCTTTGACACCCACACGACTTGATCTCCACCTCTGATTAAAAACCAGTCAAATCAATTTGTTAACACTGTACTCCATCATTCTTGCGATAACATCTTCACTTTTTAGGCATCAGTTTGACAATTTGGGGATAATAATTTAGATGAAATTGGGGAAATTATTGCGGTGCACGAATTAAATTTGCAGTCGATTCGTTATTTGTTATTTTAAGAAACATTATTAGGGGAGGGTGGGGCAAAACGGTCCCCCTTCAATTGTCAATAACTTGTGAATGACATTGTGAAAATTCCCAGTTTCAACTTCATTTTGAAGATAATTTTTCATTCTTCAAAACGAGCTCTAACTCATCCCAATCGGATTATTGAATCGGAAAATATTGACGATTGAAGGGGGGCCGTTTTGCCCCATCCTCCCCTACTAAAAATATATTTTTTCGAGTTGAATATAACCAAAGGGAGAAAGCTAAATTGTTGTCAAGACCTTTTTTGTAGCACTCAATTTCCTATAAAAGAAAGGTTATCACGAAAATTTTGTTATCTCCTTTGGATTCGGAGATATTCTTCAAAAGCTCAACTAAGAGATAAGTCGACTTAAACCGTTTTACCACTTCACTGCTGATTTCATCTTGAGCTGCTCAACGTTCACATGACTTCGATAATAAAATGTTAATTCGTATGTACAACTCTATCAATTATTTCAACTAATTAATTTGTCTCTCGCCTCTAACAATCTTCATTCTCTAATTCTCATTCAATTCATTTTTTTTTTTTGCAGTTTGTTGACCTGGGTGTGGTAACGAGTGTTGAGTACAACCACAAGGCCGTCGAGTCGGCGCGAAAGGGCCAGGAGGTGTGCGTGAAAATTGAGCCGGTGCCTGGTGAAGCACCCAAGATGTTTGGACGACACTTTGACGAGAAAGATATGATTATCAGCAAGGTGAGTTTTTTCATGTTCATTAGTATTCAAAAATGGCATTGCGAGTGAGAAGATGCAGACGAAATTCTCATGTCGTCAATTTTAAATATCTTAAATGAGAAATAGATTGAGATTAAGATTCATTTATCGCTTCCACTGCAGAGCTTTACAGTTTTTACAGTATAAATTAGAAATAATTTATTTATTGCTCATTTATTTGTTCTAATCTATTTAAATATTTTAAAAGCAATTTTTAATACCTGTGAAGGGTCATTGTCTCCCACTTTTGTTGCATCATCGATTTTGCGCAGCCACATGGCGGTAATATTCCCCCCCCGACGTTAATTATCCAATTAGCTGAGTACGTGTGTGGGTTTGGAATAGAACTTCCTGCGCGCATCGAGGGGATTCAGCCCCTCTCGGTGCCCGAGCCAACCCCATTCATCGATCCGCCTCATTCACAAATACTCACCCTCGTTCCTGTCTTACAACTCATTGATACCCGCTCCCCTCCAGCCATTTTGCATTCACTTTTTTCATCATTCTTTCATTGATAAAATTGTGATGCCACTGGAGTGGCTGGTGGTTTGATTGATGAGCGTGGAAATTGCCAGATGTTATCAGGGTTGATAAAAATTTTTTAAAAGAAAGAAATCACTTGATTTTACTCTCATCCACTCGAGAATCTTAATTTTGCCGAAAATTATAAATCAGAAATTGATTTAAGGGGAGACTACTGTGAGTTTTAAAAGTCGTGGGCTATTGGAGTGAGACTTTTCATACGTTGAAGATTGATTATATAGATCTGAAAACGAATAGTTAGTAGTTATCAGTACTGATAAAACCAACGGAAGTGACGGAAACTCTTTTCAGTCATCATCTATTCAATTAAATTGATAGAATTCTCATCTCATTTTTAATTATTCAATTTCATCCGTCAGGAGGCGACGTGAATAATTAATTGGGGGGACTTAATCTGATGGAAACGAATTAACTTCTCGGTTTCACGAACGATAATCCGATAATGATGGTTTATAAATATCATTTCCGCTCGTGGAATTGAATGGAGAATCTTGAATTATTCATTTGCATTCCTGAAAATTAATGAAAATCGTTGATTAGACAGTTTATTCCATTATTTGGGACGTAACAGTGTGAGCTGTGGAACGATATTTCCAATCATTATCTATATTAAATAATAATCATTATAAAAATTCGGATGTGACATTAAAGTAAATAAAATTAAAATAAAACAAAATAATCAAAACAAAAAGGCCATTTCCACTTGAAATTTAGTAATAAAAGTAAATCAAGTCGTTTATTAATAGAAAACAGTTGAGAATTAGACTAAAATTAAATTAATTTGAAACTCCAAAAAAAGAACTATTCTCAGAATTTAACTTCAATTTTATGAATAACGATTAACTAAATTTCAAAATTGAAATCCACCATTCGGTCTATCCTCTCTAGAATTATAAATAAAAAATTAATTTAAAACTCCAAAGAAAAAAAATCATTCTCAGAGTTCAATTTAAATTTTATGAATAAAAATGAACGAAATCTCAAAACTCTCAATTCCTCTTCAATTTCATGAATATAAATATTCAATTTCAAAATTGAAATCCACCATTTGCTCTGTCCTGTTTAGAATTATAAATAAAAAATTAATTTAAAACTCCAAAGGAAAAAATGATTCTCAGAATTTAACTTCAATTCTACGAATAATAATGAACTAAATCTCAAGACCAAGGGTCTTATAAATTAATAAAAATCATTTGGGCCATAACAGTATCAGTTGTGAAACGATAATTCGAATAATTATCCATTCAATTTAATTATAGCTCTGGAATGAGTGAGCCCATCGAAGTTTTCGTTGAAATAAGTAAATAGCCCTCTTACGTCGGATGGTCTTCGAGCTCGTTGATTTTCCAGGCACCCACGCCTTCCGCGCCCGCATCCGGTCGCCTGGTATATCCCGAGTCACGCGAGTTATGCCGCAGCAATGCCGCGTTTCTATTCCCCCCCTCTTCCTCTCCATCCTCCATCCGCCTTTATCCCACGCCTCAAACAAAAATCATTTCCACTTCAAATTTAGAAATGAAAATTGATCGAGTCGTAAAGTTTAAGTCCCTGGCCAACTGGAGAGCCAGGGAAATTTCCGTTTCCGTTTGATGTTAAATAATACTTTTGAATTCGTTGGCTCCCCAGATGTTGAACAATAAAAGATAATGTTGATGTTAAAAATAAATTGATTCCATCCAGAATTAGAATCGCTCAAGAAGTTCTTACATTTTTTATGAAGTCTGGAGACCATTCGATTAAGAATAAATAATAATAAAATAATAATGATGAAATAATCCAAAGACTCTAAACAAGAACCATCTTCATTTAGAATTCATGAATGAAACGATTCAATTTTTGCTGGAAAAATTTTTGCTCAATACTGTCTAAAATTATTTTAAAAAAACAAATTCGAAATTCCAAAGAAAAGACCAAATTCCCGATTTCAACTTCAATTTTACGAACAAAAATTAACTAAACCTCAAACTTCAATTCACGCTCTCAAGAATTCCCCATAATAATAAAAATAAAAGTTCCCCATAATAAAAAGAGCAAAATTCTCTTGAAATTTCGTAATAAAAACGAATAAATGAGAACTTTTCCACTTGAAATTTGTGAATAAACCGATCCAATTTCTACGTAAAAATCCCCTCAGATATTAAATAAAACCTCCCCCCCCCCAAGAGTAATTCCAACCATTCAATTGAAAGTTAATAATCCCCCATTTGCTCAATACTGTCTAAAATTAAAAAAAAAAATTGATTCAAAATTCCAAAGAAAAGAACAAATTCCCCATTTCAACTTCAATTTTATGAATGAAAATGAACTAAACCTCAAACTTCAATCCACGCTCTCAAGCCATCAACTAATAAAAATCAGTAGCGAAGTGGTAAACCGGTTTAATTCCACTTATCTCCCAGTTGAGTTTTTGAGGAATATTTCCGAATCTAACGGAGATAGCGAAATTTTCGTAATGACATTTGTTACAGCTCTCAATCGGCCCTACAAAAAAGGTTCCACCAAAAATTTAGCTATCTCCCTTAGATTCCGAGATATTCACTGAAAACTGGCCAATAGTCAAAATTGACTTATACAGTTTTACACTTCGCTACTGAAATAAAAATTCCCCATAATGAAAAACCAAAAATTCTCTTAAAATTTCCCAATAAAACTCGAAACAAGAGCCTTTAAGAACCCCCAGACTCGGACCTAAGCCTCATCCACCCCGAGAATAGCTCCAACCGTTCAATTGAAAGTTAAAAAATGGCCCATTCGCCCAATACCGTCTAAAATTATATGCAGACCACGTTGGGCCGTGCGATGTGGTCAGCAATGTCGAAATAGTGAAACATTCGACCACCGTCGGATCACGTCTGTGCGCATTGCATAACGCCTCCACCATTTCCCCTCCCCCAGATATTATTGCACCGGAATAAAAAAAAGGGGCGGGAGGGGAAGCGAGAGGGGCCTCAGCCTCTTCCGCCCCCCGTTGTCCATTTCCCCTGTCACACCTCGTCATTCGTCACTCGATCATTCAGTGTGACTAGTCGCACTTGGAGGCCACCACTGCAGCCATAAAACTGCACCAGAATAATGCACCTCTGTGAATCACGACTGCAGCACTGGGGAGCCAGTGGATTCTCAAAACAGTTGCCAGAATGACGATGTAACAACAATCTGGTTTATTCGAACTAGAACTGTCCGCTGAACAAAGACAGAGTGATTTAGGCTGAGCTGAGGGACGAACAAGTAGACCTGGCACACGTCTGCCCATTCATATGTTACATTTACTCAATTATTAAGTATTGGATACACTGCTGGCATGCGGTGCGTTTCAATTTGAAATGCAACATTGGAGGTGCGAGTGAGCGATTGCTGAGTTGACATGCGCGGAAGGAATGTTTATGGACGTCCGCATGAAGAGGGACCACTTTGGCACTATTGGAGTTATGTATATTCCCGTAATCTTGATCTGATTCTGAACATTTAGAGCCCAGAATGAACTTGTTAGCGTAAAGAGTGTTGCGATGGGGTTTTTTACTCGTGTGGCGTTGGCCTCCGAGCCGGAGGCGAGGAGTTGCCAACCACACGAGTAAAAAAACCCCATCGCAACAGCCCAGGAACAATATTTTTGGAAAAATCCACTAACAAAATAATTAATTAGCAGATTTTTTCCGCCAGAAGAATTTTTTCCCCAATTTATTGAAACAATAAAAATAGTTTTTTTCGTCTTCAGCATGAAGTTTTCTCATTATGAGTGACAATGAAAGTGACGATTTTTCTTCAGATTCTTTCAAATTGAAGCCTGAATTGATTCATTCATTCCCATCATTCGTTCATAATTTATTTCAATTTCGCATCAAGACTACCGCACAGATCTCGAGCGAATGTGCTTCACAGAGGAAGACGATGTCTTCAAGCTCATGTGTTAACCACGTGTGCACAACTACGGGCTCTCATCGCTCTGCCACAAGGATATGAAAGCTCGTGAATGTGACGAGACACGTTTTTACATTTTTCCCTCATTCCATTTTTTTTTTTTTCACAAAACATCGCAAGAAGTTTCAAAGAACCAGGAAGTGGACGTGACGTCAAGTCGACAGAAAAATGTTGACAGTGTTAATCAGTCTAAATCAAGAAACTCGAGATCGAGTGTAAGAAAAAATACGCTGGGAGGACCGAAGGAATTATTTTAATTAAAACCGGAACGGGGAAATTAAAATTGAAGAGCAGTCGTGTTCAGTTAAGGATAGCCCAGTATCTTTTACAGTTTAGTGCAGACCAGGCTATACTCACTTCAATTATAATTTACTTGGAACAACGTGTGATCGTGTTGATTGAGATAACAGCGTATTTAGTCGGGGGAATAATTTTGAGTTTTGAGTAAACCAACGAATTTCTGGAATTTCTGGAGTTGGCAAACTTTCGGCTAGAGAGAAATCAAATACTCTCATTATTGC